GCTATTGATGCACAAGGCTACCAGAGCTGATGAATCAGGTCAGACCAGACCCCCAGGGTTGATGACTTGAACATCCTTAATCCTTAATTGTGCTGTAATCTTTAGTAATTGTTGTTAAATGCCAAATAGTCGGTTCAGGTTCATAATGATCCTCTATAGGGTTTCCAACGAGTGGCTGATGGGTTTGAACTGCTAACCTTGTGGTTAATAGTCCAGTGCTTATTCTATAGTGCCACTTTTCCAAAACAATCCTATAAATTGGGAGTCAGACCATGCACCCAAGAGTGGTGACTTGAGTCACACTCTATAGTAAGGTGGGGGCATCCTTAATGCTTAGTTGCACTGTAATTCTTACTTCTTGTTGTTAAGTGCCTTCAAGTCAGTTCTAACTCATGTTGTTAAGTGCTGTCAAGTCGATTCTGACCCATAGCAACCCTGTAGAGGGTTTCCAAGGAGCAGCTGGTGAACTTGAACCACTGACCTTACAGTTCAAATGGCTTTGCAGTCTGGTGCATTAATCCACAGTACCAACCACACCAGGACTCCGGTTTTCCAAGGAGCAGCTGGTGAATTTGAACTACCTGCCAACCTTGCAGTTCAGACTAACCTTGTGGTCCAGTTCATTATCCTACAGTGCCACACCAGGACTCCTTACTTAGTTCTACCTTAATCCTGCCTCATTAACAACATACTTAAAAATGGATCCAAAATCACATACAGTTAAGTGCCATCTAGTCTGTTCTGACTCATAGCCACCTTATATATAGGGTTTCCAAGACTTTAAATCTTAGCAGGAGCAGAAAGCCTCATCTTTATTCCACAGAGCAGCTGGCAAGCTCAAACTGTAGACCTGTGGTTTGCAGTCTAGTGCTTATCATATAGAGCCAACGTATTCACAATCACAGGCATACAGGATACAATTTGCAATATATCACAGGATGGGAAAATGTGGCTAGAAGAGCCATAATAAGTCATAGTCCTACAGTTGTAAATCTTTATTTCGATTCCTGTGGTTTTAATCCCATTTAGAAATGGGTTGTCTTTGTTAAAGGACCCCAGTGGCATAGTGATAAAAGCACTCTGCTGCTACCTGAAAGGTCAGTGATTAACACCCGCTAGCCACCCTGTGTAAAGATTCACAGCTTAGAGACTTTAAAGGAGGGCTAGTTCTAGTCTGTCCTTCAGACTTGTTAAAGACTGGGATCGACTCCATGGCAGCAGGGTGGCTTGGCTTGGCTTGGGCTGGCTTTTTACATGTGATTTGTTGTTGCTATTGCTTGGTTTGTCTTTGTTACTTTAAGGAGAGAATCGTAGTGTTGGCTGTGTCTTGAGTCAATCTCTTAAAAATATAAAGGGATCAGAATAAGCACTAGAAAAATTAAGAAAAAAAATGGTAGATACCTAAAATGTGGAAGTGGTTTTGGAATTGGATAATAGATAGGCTAGAAGAATTTTATTCTGTTTAATTTTATTTATTTATTTAAGCTTTTTATTGTGAACTGAGTGGTAGTTTACATCAGTTTTATACTTACCCTATTGTATTTTGTTTCATTGCACTGATAACAATCCCCTCCATAGATCATCATTCAACAGTATTTGCTTCTATTCCTTCTGGATTTTTTTTTTTTTTAATTGGTGTACACAAAAACACTCAGTAATATATAATCATTTAAATACCCCAATGGCACATTGTACAAGCTTTCCTCCTGGCCACCAGCATCACAATCTTTCTCTTTCCATGAGTCTAGAGTTGTCAGCTGCTCTTATCTCTCCATGTCATCATTTCTGCCTCCATTTCTGGTGTTGCTGCTTCTCTGAAAAGGGTCCCACAGTCCGCTTGTGTGTTCCTCCCTTGATGGTCCTAGGGTCTTTTGTCCCTGGAATGTTAGATGAAGTACACCCCCCTGTATATTACAAAACTTCTGCCTTTACAGTTGTGACAATCGCATTTGTCATAACAATTACTTTTGAATCATAAGAATCTTATCCCCATCTCCTTTCACCAGACCCAGCTAGACAAGATGAAAGCTAGTCAGTGGGGATTCTACTTTCCCCCCATACAATCTAAAACTAAACTCCCTCTTGAAAACTTGCAAACCAGCTGTTTCGTACCTTTATAGCTCCCCTCCCCCATTATCGGGAGCCATTGTCTAAATTACAAGTTTGTAGAATGTGCCCTTGGGTTGTTTAAATGATTATATATATATATTCTTGAGTGTTTTTGTGTACACCAAAAAACCAGGGAATAGAAGCAAATACTGTTGAATGATGATGCATAGAAGGGATTATAATCATTGCAATGAAACGAAATAAGGTAGGATGAGTGCAAAACGGATGTCTCCTGGATCTCAAAAGGTTGAGCCATAACCCCCAAGGTTCCAGAGTGTAGAACTGGCATAAATGTGTGCCAAGGTATAGGGCTACCACCCAGAGTTGAGGGGGGGCAGGACCAAGTGGATTGGGGTCACCATGCAGAGATGGACTAGGAGAATGGGGCCACCTAAAGGCAAGGGAGCAGTCTTTGTATCACAGTGAATCTGGAAGGCAGAACTGAAGATCAAGGCTAAGGGGCCTCCATTCATACTCTAGAGAGCATGACCAATACTAATAGTCTGGAGGGCAGAGCCATTGCCAAGATGGTCTTAGAGAGCAGAAGATTATTTTCAAGCCTTGAGAGATGATGTAAATCTGGTTTGGAACTTGATTGGTGCCTGTTATCCCTCCCCCCCCCCCCCAATATCTCTCATTGATAATGGAAATTTCTACCTTGTACCTGCTTTACCATTGTACTTTAGAAACAGATACTTTATGATCTAGATTTCACAGGTTCACAGATAAAGAGGAATTTTGACCCAGAATGAAATACACCTGAAGTCTCACCCATGTTTGCTTTAGATGATTCAGAAAATGAAATTTCAGAATTTGGGTTGATTTAAGACTTTTGAAATGATATGATTGGTTTGAATGTGTTTTCCATATAGAAAGGACAAGAAATTTGGTGTATCAAAGGGCAGTATGGTATGAATTAAACTGTATTTTCAGAAAATGCCATCTTCAGAAAAGTACTTATAATTTGGGTGACAGGAAAGGCAATATACAATGAGAGGGAAGTTGCAGAAGAATGATGAAGGTGGGAGAAGACACAAGGAGTACAAGAGTTAAAGGGAACAGGGAGATACTGTTAAACACAGTCTTACAGTAATAGTAATCTGGGGTAGCTATATGAATAGATACACAGGCTTAACTGGTATGGGTGGGAGAGTGGAAGTGTACCAACAAATTTGTAAAGGTTTGTCAGAGGATATTTGTATATGGGTATTTACTTTTACTGTAAACAGATCCAAGAGTGTAATGGAGCATGTTATATGCCATTGAGTCCGTTCCTGATAGTTCAGTTTTCAGCTGAATAATAAACAGGTATATAGGAGGAACCGCAGCACTAGTGAGGTATGCACACATGGAGTGGTCAATCATTGAGTATTAAAAGGGCATTATTCACCTAATGACAAAATTCACACGGGTTGGGAAGAAGGTAGAATGGAAACAAAGATCATAGAGAGCAAGTGGCGTAACTGGTATTCCACTGAGGGAAGTGCAATCATTTTGAAATGAAACGAAGTCTGTGATTTGTTGAATGTCAAACTGATGATCAATCTGCTTTGTAAACCTTCCCTTAATTCACAATTTTAAAAATTTTTAAACAGAAAATGTTGTGAATACTAGTCCCTATGCCTGTGGTTACAGTCCCATTTAGGAATGAGTTGTCTTTGTTATATTAATGAGATAGGATTCCTTAGGGGTTTATCTTTAGTTGATCGCTTTTGAAATATATTAAATGCTGACTATTCTGGTCACTCATAGTGACCCAGTATAGGGTTTCTGAGGAGAAACTAGTGAGTTCAAACCAACCTTGTGGTCCAGTGCATGCCTTTCAGCGCCACACCAGGACTCCCTTTTTAGATATAAAAGAGATTAAAGCAGAAAACAAGAGAAGGAGAGATGGAAGGGGAAGAAAAAAATGCTAAGCCACATGAAGATCTCCTAGGAACAGAAGTTCAAAGAGACAAAGGCATTCCTGTAAACCAACAGGGAAACCTTCCGCTAGAGCAGGCACCCTGAATAGCCTCCTAAACTCTGAGAAATGTATGGGTCTGTAAGATAAGCACTGGACTGTTAACCACAAGGTTGACAGTTCAAACTCACCAGCTGTTCCTTGGAAACCCTGTATAGGGTTGCTATGAGTCAAAACTGGCAGCATTTAACAACAACAAAAAATTCTTGAGAAAACTTCTGTTTGTTAAATCACCAATTTGTGTTTCTGCAACAGCAGCACTGCAGAACCTGGTTTCCTGGCTCTCAGTATATCTAGTTTTGAGTATGGACATGTTCTTTAGGAAGACCCTCAATTTTTTTCCTCTCAACTTTGTTGTTGTTGTTAAGTACCGTAGAATCGGTCCCAACTCATAGTGACCCTCACAGGGTTTCCAAGGCTGCAAATCTTTACAGGAGCAGAAAGCTTCATCATTGTCCCGCGGAACAGCTGCTAGTTTTGAACTGCCAACCTTGATGTTAGCAGCCTGATTCGTAACCAATACACTACCAGAGCTCCTTCTCTCAACTTTAGGCCTACAGAAACTTCTTTAACAAACACAGCCAGGATTTTCTACAAGATCACTGCTATCTAGGCACAGTGCCAAAGTGCTTTTAAGTCATGTCTGCAATCCTCAAAACACTGAGAGTTGATGTTTCCCAGTTTGAAAAAAAAAAACCTAGTTAACCCAAACAGTTGGGTAATTTTCTCAAGGGCATATAGCTGATAAACTCCACGTTCAATTCTCTGACTCCAGAACATAGATTGTCTTCACAATTTGAAGGGTGGGCTATGCAGTCAGTATATGTAGAGAGACATGAATAATGAATACTTAATGGACAAAATATTTTTCTTTCCTCTTCATCTTTCCTGCCATCTACACTCATGGTTTGGTTTTTCTTCCTTTCAGTGAAGAAAAAATGACTGCAGCTCGCATTAGGAAATGCCACAAGTGTGGGACTGGCCTCATCAAATCCGAAGGCTGCAACCGCATGTCTTGTCGCTGTGGTGCCCAAATGTGCTACCTCTGCCGAGTGTCCATCAACGGATATGACCATTTTTGCCAGCACCCTCGGTCCCCAGGAGCACCTTGCCAGGAGTGTTCCAGATGCTCTCTCTGGACTGACCCTACTGTAAGTGCATATATGGAGTTGGGGGACTGGGTAGGTAAATAAGATAATAAAAAATGATTAAGAAAGTAATCAGAAAACACTTTTCAGAAAGTGGTACACCCAAATGGTGTTATAGACAAATTCTTTTAATCCTTTAGGGAATAAGAATGTTCTGTGACATTTGAAATATTCTATAGCATGGAAGAATGAGGAAAGTTTCACATAGACCAGGTGAATTTATTCCAGAAATGCCAGGATAGCTTAATATTTAAAATTCTGTCATCATATGTTCAGAGGGTAAAAAGACATTTTACTAAAAATCTAATTTCCATACATGATTTAAGCTTTTATTATTTTTTTTTTTTATGTTATTAGATACACCCTGTAAATAATTTTTTAAAACCCACTTTGCCATAGTTACTATTCAATGGCAAAATACATAGACGCATTCTCAGTATAATCAAGGACAAGGCATCACCAGTATTTTGTTCTAGAACTGCTAGTTAGTGAAGTTAGGTAATAGACTAAGATAGACACAAACATCAGAGAAGGTAATAACTGATATTGCACACACAGTGTTTACCCAGTAAACATTGTTTTAAGAATTTTTATATGTAGAGACAAAAGACATTTACCATTTTAAACCTGGGGTGGGGTGACAACAAAATAGGTAACTATAGAAAGCTATTAGAAGCAGTGGGAAAATTATGATATGTGGGTGAAGTCCATTCCAAAGAAGTGGCTGGTGGGTTTGAACCCCTAACCTTGCAGTTAATATTCTAGTGCGTATCCTGTGTCACAATGCCAGCATTCCAGTGGAAAGATTGTTATTGGGTATCATTGAGTCAGTTCCAATTCATAGCAACCCTGTGTACAACAGAACAAAACACTGCCCAGTCCTGTGCCATCCTCACAATTGTTACGTTTGAATACATTGCTGCTTCAACTGTGCCAATCCGTCTCCTTGGGGGGGAGCTCCTCTTTTCCACTTAACCTTCCATTTTACCAAGCAGATATCTAGGAACTGGATCCTCCTGAGACTATATCTGAAATAAGAAAGACAAAGTCTCACCATCTTGACTTCACCGAAGCTTTCTGTTGTTACTTTTTCCAACACAGATTTGTTTATTCCTCTGGCAGTCCATGATACTTTTAATATTTTCCTCCATCCTCATAACTTAGATGCATCAATTCATCTACGTTCTTCCTTACTTATTGTCCAACTTTCACATGCATATAAGGTTACTGAAAATACCACATAACTTGAGTTAAGCACATCTTAGTCCTCAAACTGACATCTTTGCTCTTACATACTTAAAAGGTGTTTTGCAGCAGATTTGCCTAATGCAGTATGTTGTTTGATTTCTTAACTGCTGCTTCCATGAGTGTTAATAATGGATACTGGATCCAACTCTTGGACACTTTTGTGCATTTATCATGATGTTACTTACTAGCCAAGTTGAGAGAGGACTTTTTTTCTCCTTTACACTGAGGTGCAACCCATGCTGAAGGTTTTGGTCTTCAGTAAGTATTTTAAGTTCTCTTCGCTTTGAGCAAGCAGATTTGTATCATCTGCAAATCATGGTTCATAAAAAGTCTTCCTCCAGTCCTGATGTCATGTTCTTCATTTAACTCAACTTCTCAAATTATTTGCTCAGCATATAGATTGAATAAGTATGGTGAAAGAATACAACCCTGGCACTTACCTTTTCCTAATTTTAAACCATTCAGTGTCCCCTTGTTCTGTTTGAGCACCGCCTCTTGGTCTATGTACAGCTTCCATAAGAGCACAATTAAGTGTTCTGGGATACCCGTTCTTAGCAATGTTATCCATAGCTTGTCATGATCTACATAGTCAAAAACCTTTGCTTAGTCTATAAAGCACTGGTAAACATCTTTCTGGTAGTCTCTGTTTTCAGCCAAGATCCATTTGACATCAACAGTGATATCCCTTATTCCATGTCCTTGTATAAATCCAGCTTGAACCTCTGGCAGTTTCCTGTCGATGTACTGTTGCAGCCATTTTTTAATTATCTTTAGCAAAACTTAACTTGTATGTGATATTAATGATATTGTCCAATCATTTCCAGGCCATTGAATTAACCTCTCTTTGAAATAGGTACAAATAGGGATCTCTTGCAGTCACTTGGCCGTGTATCTGTCTTCCAGATTTCTTAGCATAGATAAGTTAGTGCCTCCAGTGCTGCATCGGTTCATTTAAAGATTTCAATTTGTATTCCATCAATTTTCTCTTTAGCTCTTTTACCTCCTCATTTCTTCCTTTTACTTTAGCATCTCTATGCTGGAAACCAAGTTTCAAGGTCTCTTCTCACACTCATTTTGGTCTTTGTCTTCTTTTTTGTCTTCCTAATGAAATTTTGCTTTCTTTCTGTAAGATGTTCTTGATGTCATTTCACAACTCTTCTGGTCTTCACTATTTGGTGTCTAATGATTAGCATCAAATCTGGAGTAAGTCATTGGCTTGCAAAATTCTGTCACACGCACGATCTCCAGTATTCATTTCTATCACTAAGGCCATATTTTCTAATTACTGATGCTTCCTCTTTGTTTGCAATCTTTGCATTCCAGTTGCTCGTAATTATCTATATATCTTAATTGCATATTTGATCAATTTCAGACTAAAGAAGTTGGTGGGATTGGTCAATTTTATCATCGCTGGCTTTAGTAATTGGTGTGTAAATTTGAATAATAGTAGTCTTAGCTGGTTTTCCTTGTAGGCATATGGATATCATCCTATCACAGATGGCATTATACTTTTAATAGATCTTGATTTTTTTTTTTTAATGATGATGATGATGTTGAATGTGACACCATTCTTCTTCCATTTTTTACTCCTGGCATAGTAAATCATGTGATTGTCAAATTCAAAATGGCCTATACATTTCAGCTCACTAATGCCTAGAATGGAGTCCTAGGATAAGCATGCAACTGCAACATCTGTTTGAACCACAGGTCAGCAGTTCAAACTCACCATCTGCTCCTTGGAAACTCTATACAGGATCTCTATGATTCAGAATCGATTCAACAGCACTGAACAACAACAGTGTGTACAATATCTATCCTATGGGTTCCATTTCATTTTTGACAACTTCCAGTTTTCCTAGATTCATACTTACTGCATTCCATGTTCTGGTTATTAATGCGTGCTTACAGCTCTTTCTCCTCATTTTAAGTTGTGCTCCATCAGCAAATGAAGGTGTCTAAAGCTTTGCTCTGTTTGCATCATCATGATCAACTCTGCTTTGAGGAGGCAGCTCTTCCTCAGTCATCTTTGAGTGCCTTTCAATCCTGAGGGGCTTATCTTCGAGCACTGTATCTGACAATGTTCTCATGCTCTCTTCATGTTTCAGTATTCAGTATCCTGGTAGTGACAGTGTTCCTTCCTCTGCTATTCATAAGGTTTTCAGCAGCTGAACATTCAGAAGTAGTCTGTCTCTCCTTCTTAGTCTGTCTTAGTCTGTAAGCTCAGCTAAACCTGTCCACATGGGTATCCCTGCTGGTATTTAAAATACCAGCAGCATACCTTCCAACAACACGCAAGCCACCACAGAACGACAAACTGACAGACAAGTGGTGGAGTGGAAAGAGAACAGGATCGAAATAAACACAAAGAGGACCATGCACACGGTAGCGACAACGAAAACAAACTAGTTGCCACAGTTGATTCCAGTTCATGGTGACTTTGTGTGTCGATGTAGAATTATGCTTCAGGGGGTTTTCAGTGACAGTTTTTCAGAAGTAGATCACCAGGTCTTTCTTCCAAGATGCCTCTCTGACTAGGCTTCAGTTTCTACCTTTTAGTTAGCAGTTGAGCATTTCACCATCCAGTACTCCACAGTAGCAATAAAAATAGAAATTAATTTTAACAAAGAATGCATAAAAATAGGGAGAAAACTATTAAAATCCTACTGAAAGGCATAAAAAGACTTCAACAGAATGAGAAATAGACTTTGGTTTTAGGTAAGTGTTGATATGAGAAAGATAAACTTTTTAAAATGCAGTTGGCCTTTGAACAACGTGGCAGTTAGGGGCATCGATTCCCCTCACTATCAAAAATCCACATAAAACTTTTTCCAAAAAAAAAAAAATTGTAGCCTACTGTTGACTGGAAGCTTTAACTGATAACATACAAAGACTGTTAACTCATGTTTTCCCTATTATATGCAATATGTGCTATATTCTTACAAGAAAGTAAGCTAGAGAAAAGAAAACCATAAGGAATTGAAAGTACGTTTACTGTGTATGAAAAAATACAACATTTTTTCCCTCTCATGGAACTCTGCTCAGCTGTGTACCATAATTCATTGCTGTGGCCACACAGAACTCAGACACCATATTCACAGTTATGGGGTTTATTAGGAAAGTTGATGGGTTACACTGCAGGTCTGGTGTGGCACTATAGGTTAAGCACTGTGCTGCTAAACACATTGTCAGTAGTTCATAGCCACCAGCTGCTCCTCAGAAACTTTGTATATAGAGTCACTGAGTTGGAACTGGCTCAGTGGCACTTAACAACAACAGCCATGTAGATTCGGAAATGCTCTGGACACAGTTATTCCAGTCAGGACAGCCTCTTTAGCCATCCATGCTCACAGGCAGGTGTCTCTTAGCCCAGTCAATGTTACAAAACTCTTTCGGGATGTTGCTCAGTGCCCACTGAACACACCACTCCACCAGCAGTCTCAGCCTGAAGGCACTCAATTCAAACTCTGTGGGTCGCAAGCCTAGCTTCTCCAATTACGTGTCTGTAGGCACCCCCATGCTACAAGTAAGCCGCCATAGTTGCTCAGCTTTACTTCTCCTGGGCTGGGAAGCCCGCTGCTCTGGCTGTTGGTCTGCTGCTGTTCTGCCACTCCAATGTCAGGATTTTTGGTCCCTGCGTCAAGGCGGTTCAATATGCAGGAATCTAGGGGGTCAAAGTTTGTACTACACTCCTGGATCTTTGATGGTAGCGAAATTCCACATTCCTGCTTCTGAGATGGCTCATTTTACCCCTAATA